ATGCTTGTGAGGCAGAGAAGGTTCTGGTCTAGTCAAAACTCAGAGGAGGGACAAGAGCCCCACTCACTCAGTCTCACTCACACTACTACTACATAGGAAAGATGAGGATGGCCTCAGTCCAAGTCAAAACCCAGTAACAGCAAGAGGAAGAGTAATAAGAGCAAGTGATCACAGGGCCCAACAAATAGTCAAAGGTAAAAGGAGAGATGCCTAACTTCTGTAAAGGTAAAAGTAAATTGCTGCTGTAGCTCTAACAACTTTTATTCCCATTTCACTGTGGCAAAAGCCAATTTTTCATGTGAGGCTGGTTTGGAGGGTTCCAGAAAGTAATTGGCTACTTTTCAATTTTGGAGATGATGAGCAGAAACATTTCCCAGGTAGGTATTACCCTGCCATATTGTGTGAAAAAAAAGGAGCAAAACGCTTCTAATGATTCTGTTACAAATCCTGTGTTAGCAAGATTTCAATCTGGCTGGAAAGCAAAGATTCTGTGCCTGCTAGAGCTATGTATGCTTGAATACTGCATAGTCATACTTTATGATCGATGAGAGCCCAGTGGTGCAACATCAGTAGGAGAACATGACGAAGAGCCAATGTCTAAGTTTAACAGAACAACAGAAACTGTCTTTCTGATGTCTGACATGCCTTCAATCATTTCATGTGTCTTTCATAACTGATCTTATAAACTTAACTATTAAAACTTGAAAGACAATGGGATACCACTACACACCTACTAGAATGGCTCTAATTAAATATATATAATACACATATTATATATATTTAAATGACAATAGCATGCTGATGAGGATACAAAGTGGCTAGAACACATATATTCTGGTGGGAATTCTACTTTGGAAAAAAGTTTGACCATTTCTGGTAAAGGTAAACTTAATGTAGGTTACCCTAGAGACATGGAAACCTATATCCACACAAAGGTATTTATATGAATGTTTACAACAACTTAATTCACAAATGCTAAAAGCCAAAAATGAACCAAAATATTCATCAACCGGTGAATAGATAAATTATGTTATATCCACATGGCAACAAAAAAGAAAAAAACTACAGATACATGCACCAACATGGACACATCTCAAAAGCATTATGCTAAGAGAAAAAAGACTCAAGAGATTACATACTGAATGACTCAATTAATTTGTTACTAGAAAAAAGGAAAAAAAAAACTATGGAAACAGAGATCAGATCAGTGGCTTTTAGTAGCTGGTCAGGGGAAGGGATTTAATAAAAAAGGCTCATGAGAAATTATTCCATATCTTGATTTTGGTGGTAGTTACATGACTACATAGAATTGTCAAAATTCATTGAGCTGTATTCCTAAAAAGTAGGAATTTTACTACATGTAAATTATATCTCAAGAAAAAGCAAAATTAACTTGTATATTTAAGATAGAAAAAAGAAATGAGTTATGAGTGGGCATTATCTTGAATTTTCATTTGAGTATTGGTTTGACCATTTCCAGCTCTGAAGGCTTTTGACCATTAGTTAGACTTTTATTGACCATAACATATATCCTAAAGATCATATTTAATGGTAGATTTGAAAGTCTATCAGCCATTTGTAGCCAATTTTGGAAGAATTTATTCCTACTAACTATGGCATCCATTGTATGCAATAAACAAACTTCTCTCCTATGTGGCTAGGGAGGTCCTAGTTATGTACCATCTTTGAAGAGATTGAGGATATAGTCACTTAAATCATTTTCTGTGTTTTATGGTCTAGATGAGTAATTCCAATTTGATTGTATAGCTTATATAGATTAAAATAGCAAAAAAGAGACCACTTGGGAATATTAACACAGTGGTAGCCAAATAGGTGTGTATCTTGAGCACTGCATTTTATGAAGAAGTCCTGAGTACTACAGAGGGAAATACGGAGGGGTTTCTTTAACTACTTTCTTTCGGCAACAGTTCTTTTGCTTTGTTAGAACATTGACAGAGACAGTCTCAAAACACAAAGCCAAGACTAATTCACCAGGGCAGCCAGCGTTTCCCTTTGAAAATAGGTTCCTTATCTTTCCTGTTTTGATAGTCCTGGTGTTGGGACGTAATATTCCTGAGGAGTTCCTTCAATAGATGAGGCAGTGCTTCTTTTATGAAAAGCTAATCTAAGTTAATTAATTGCTCATCAAGGGGACAGAAAATAAAATCAGTGGGTCTTGAGAAACACAACAAAGGAGTAACCAACCCTTGGACCAATTCTCTATGGTGACATCTGAGGCATGTCAGGAGACCTCTGGCACTAGGTTTCCAAGCAGGTACTCATCACGCGAGAGGCAGGGAGAAAATTAACCTTAAAATCCATGTAGCATTGGAATTATAAAGCACATTCTTATGTAGGCAAGTTTTCCATTAAACTATGTGCTGTGAATGTACATGTGAACTGCTGGTTATAATAGGACTTCGTATCAGAGTCTTTCACCCAGTGTTCCTGGCAGTGGTGTTTTATGAAATGTGTGTGTGCCAACAAAGCAGTTACTAGCGGGCGGTGGAGCAGGGAGGACATCCCCGGCCAACAGGCGCACGGGGACTGGGCAGGCATGAAGTACAACTTTACCACAGAGCAGAAAATTTTGATGTTTCCCAACATTGTGATTTGTTCTCTCATGCATTTCAATATGCTCCTGGGAGCCACGGCCAACCACCTTCAAGTGACTTTATTAGAATATTTGTCTTTTTACCCTGCCTTCCTTTTAAGTGCCTTGTTAATTTGATCCCAGATACTGAATCATTTGGCAAATTAGTAGGCCTTACTGTAAAAATGAGAATTCTCTATTCTGCCTTTCATTTTTGACACACACACACACACACACACACACACACACATGCACATCCGTAACTTACGGTCCCAAGAACTTTGCATTTTTCACAAAAATCTTCTCCCTGACTGAAATTATTTAAAGGAGCTGATACCTGGACACTTTGTTCAAGTATTTGGCATTAAAACTGTTATTTGTTTAAATTTCAATTTTAGAAGTCTTGAAAGTCTACTTCCAAAGTTTCTTATCATTCAACCCATAGCCAGTGGTTGCCAGAAGTCTGTATATTTGTCAGGTACAGTTTGGATTTGTCCTCAGACACCAGAAAATGATGTTAATATCCCTAAATGACATAATTAATAATAACAGCTAATCTTTACCGTGTGCCAGGCCCTGTCACTTCACTTGTATTAATTTATTTGAACTTCACAAAAAATCCACAGAAGTAGGTATAATTACTTTAACAATGAGAAATGAAGTCAAACATCCTTCCTGCATTCACAGCCCTGTCTCCACCATTTGGCTGAGCAATCACACTTATCCTGTGTTAGACGATGAGAAACAAAGACTGCCAAATAGCAATTTGAGACATAGATGAATTTATAGGATTTCCTGGCAAGGAAGGTCTGCATTACTCAGGTACAAGCAGTTCTCTCACCAAGCAGCAAGTGAAAGGACCAGACTTAGAGCCAAAAGAGGAGGAAGGCAATATTCTGAGCCCAGGCTTCTGCATTGTGGATTGTTTCCATCCCTTCTCTGCAAATGGTCATTCGCTGGTTTTACCTCACTGATTCAAAGAAGCCAGGTTTCCGAACAAGTCTGAGATGAGTTGCGAAAGATGCCAGTGGGCCTAGGATCATCCAGCAAACATGCTGGATGCACGTGCTTAAGCTGTGGCTAGATTTCTATTTCACATCCAGCAGGTAATATGCGACAACACAACATCTATACATTGGGGTAGGACTAGATAGAGTCTAGGTGGAGTGAAATGGATGTGAACCAGATGCTTCTTCGTTTCTCTGTTCTCTGAGGACACAGGCACACTCACCACAGAAAGGACTGTACAAGATCAACTCCGGTAATTTCTAACTTGCTTACAAGCTTTATATTTGGAAACTCTTATGCAAACAGTGCTCCCAAGACTTCTATGAGAGGCACAATAAACTGAGGAGAAATGTTTCCTTGTGCCTACTAGGATTTTAACAACTTGGAAGCCTGGCATGGCCATACCACAGCTCAAGAAAAAGGGAAAAAGCACAAAACGAAACAAAAACAAGAGAGCTTATCTCGGACTACCTAAGCCTGGTCCATCCTTGGCTCTTCTGTCACTGGCACAGAACACCTTTCGAATTCCCACTGTTCTAGGTTATCTTCCTGCTCAGTTAACAGCAGGAGAGAGAGTGTAAGGATAGGCCAGCAGCTAGTGTTGCTCCTGTAAAATGTCATCTCAAGAACGATGTTGCACATCAAACATGAAGCTGGATGAGATAAATGTAGGCGTTATTCCAGTCCTCTTCCTCGCTGCCAGCAGAATGCTGCAACAGCAGCAAATCCACGAGACACAAGCACAAGTCCATCTGGTTGGATGTGGAGAAAAACCTTACTCACAGAAGAGGTAAGAAGTTGTCTATTAGGTAGCCTTCCACCCTACTCCCCCAGTTTTTCCCTCAGATCGTTCTTTTGAATGGAGCAGTTGCTCCCCGAATCTCCCTTTCAAAAACTAATATTCCTGGAAGGAATAAGCATCTGGCCATATTAACTCCCTGCCCTAAACTTTCTAATACTGACCCTTTGTCAAATGACACATTTCATAAAGGACTTACTGAAAAAGAAAGCTGCCTAAATATGTACAAACAGCAACAATAAGGACAAAACTAACTTTCAACCTGTGCATTTATAAAGACTTTCTAAGATTGTAAATAACTCTCTGGTTGCTATGACTTGTGTGATTTTAGAACCAACCCTGGAAGACATAAAAATAATTCAAAATTACACAATGCCCAATTACCAAACACTATCCAATGTAAGGGAACAATAAAAAATTATCAGTTAGGTCTAAGAGAGTGGTCAGCAAGCTGCTAGGGAATCTGAAGTTGGGTCAACATCCTAGGGTTCCTGTCCCTGAAAACCACTCAGTCAATAATGCAAAATGAGGAACAGATAGCAAAGACACATTTTCATCCACACCCACGTTATTGAAATAGTTTGGATATAACCAGCATACCTGATCAGACACCATCAAGAGAGATTTGATTCAACCAGCAGCCAAGGGTTCAGAATTTTACCTAATTATCTCTGTTCATAATTTTTCTCATAGGATTCTTGGTTCACATGTCACTGTATATTTTCAGCTGCTTGATTAGTATAGATTCACTATTCCAGTTGTTCTGCAGGAAAGAAACAGCAAAGCTCTAGCCTCTGTACCCTGAGAATTTATCCTCTAGACACAGAAGAATGCTTCAACAGAAAGTAAATTACAAAGAATTATATATAAAGCTACGTGACAACAACCATAAACTACTATCTTAAAAACAAATGCACATTAGCTGAAGATTTACATTAAAAAGCAATCAACCTAGGACATGTTTAATAAGAAAAGATTTCCTGAAGGGAGACAGTTTATGACACATTTTAAAAAGGACTTTATAGACATGGATTCTAAGAGAGAAGAGAAGGTACCAGCAAAGGCAGAGATACTGTACTGTTTCAAGTGGAAAAATTTTGTTATGGAGAAATAAAAGTGGATCTAACCAAACCAGAAAATGTAGCAAGCCCTGTAGAAGAAAATGCTATAATGTAGGCTCTGCAATTCAGTTAGAGTTTTTATGTTGGGTAGTTTTTACACTTAAAACAACATGGCTTCTCTTCAATAGGAAATATTATTCTAAAATTTCAGGTAAAAAAATTAAAAAATTAAAAAAATTAAATTTTGTATAAAGCTTTAGACATTTTATAGCATTTATTTTCTCTCTAATTAAAAAGTAACAACTGGGGGCGCCTGGGTGGCTCAGTCTTTAAGCATCTGCCTTCAGCTCAGGGTCCTGGGATCGTGCCCCGCATTGGGCTCCCGGCTCCACAGGAAGCCTGCTTCTCCCTCTCCCACTCCCCCTGCTTGTGTTCCCTCTCTCGCTGTGTCTCTAATAAATAAATAAAATCTTTTAAAAAAATAAAAAATAAAAAGTAACAACTGTTCTTGGTAGAAAATGTGAAAAATATAGTAAAATACAAAGAGGAGTTTTAAAATCTTCTATAATACCACTATTTAGACATAACCATTGTTAACACTTACAACCCTTCAATTGTTTTACTCTGTGTGTGTGTGGTTTATATGATATGCTTTATTATGTGCAAAATTTGGGTATATTACTGCAAATATAGTTTTATATTTTTTTTCCACTTTTAATGTTTTAAAACTAGCATCTGCCTTATGTGACATTACTTCTGGGACTTTTTCTATTGCTCTGATTTCATTAATTTTTTTTCCCAGTTTCCATTATTTTTGACAAGTAGGAGCAATTGCAAATAAAGCCTCCAGTTATGTTGTCTGAAAGAAATAATCCTAAACTGAATGAATCTCTTAGCTTGATAGTATCATGCTTTGGTTTCCTAGACTAAAATATTCAGAGATGACTACATTAGTAAAGATTTCATACACCCTGATTCTGTGGAATGATAAGGGACTAACCCTTACTATTTGTTCCAAATTTCTTCTGGACTTTTAGAGTATGTTTGTTCCTATTTCACTTTGGGAACCAGAAATCTTGTCTTCAAATTAATGACAAAATATTTTTCTTTACCATTGTCAATGTCATTATTAAATCATATTTATGAATGAATTGAGTGACACCAAAGGCATAACGTCCTCAGTGGGCCCACTGGTTCAGAGTGTTATATTGTACTACTCTTCCATCACTCCCAAAGTCTAGCATGCCTCCCCTTCCAAAATCAGCTTATCCTACTCAGGCACAAAAGCAGTAGTTCATTATTACTACATCTCCATGGTGGTTGTTAAATTCAAAAGAGAGATATAAAAAGCACTATTATATTAAATATGGCTATTCAAGATGACAATTCTTTTTCTTCCTAAAAGTAAAATTATCTATCATCTATCTATCTATCTATCTATCTATCTATCTATCTATCTATCTATCTATATCATCTATCTATCATGTGTCATCATCTATCTCTCCATTATGCATTTGAGCCTATTATTGGAAATTTCTATCTATAGTTTGCTTGCTTCAGTATTCATCCTAGTAACAGACATCAGGAAGTATCTTTTCACTTAGTAGTGAATGTTCCACAAATAGAGAAACATAACATTGGGGAATGTTTCCCTATTAACTGATGAAGCTTTCTTCTAGGGATGCTCATGTGCCCCGCAGCTGTGGCCAGGTGTCATAAACAGATAAATATTTTATGCCTTGCTCTCCCTCTATTTCTAAAATCTTAAGGAAAAGTTATGGAAATGAAAAATTTCAACAGTTATGAAAATAAGTCCAGGCAAGAAGGTATCTATGCTGGCTGCTACCTAGAACTGTTGACCTTCCTCTGTCATACAGAGTAGGGTGACCCTTCCAAAGCCTGGTGGCTAGAAATTTTCAATGTAAAACTGACAATCTTGACCGATGACTTAATTTTTTTAAATGAGGAAGTGTATAAAACATATTACTTAGGTTTGGCCACTTGCAAAAATATTACAAGACAAAATATTTCAACAAAAATGCTTGCACATTATTCTATTAGACACTGCAAAGGGAAATTTTCAGAGACCAGCCATTTCCTTTTGTACATAGCAACATGTGTTCCTTCTCTGCAGATAGGGAAAAACAAATCAGATTTTTCTCAACTTCCTGGGCATTGAGAACTGGTTCAGCTGGACATATGCCAGTTGAACAAAAGGAGCCACTTAAATGCAAGAGAGTCAAAGAATTTCAGGAGAAAACTAAAATAATCCTGAGGTGAGCCCTATTAAGGAAGCATACTGCTAAATTTTTAAAATAGGAACAAGAGATCAGTTTTCTTCTCCATGCTCTCTTCGTTGTATTTCTTCAAACCAGTAAGTGAGTGAGTGTACAAAGGAGCTAGCTATACAAATGAAAAAAAAAAAAAAAAAGGAGGAAAGATTCAATTCAAGTCAATGCATGGATATAGAATAAGAATTCCCCCAGTTTTTTTTTTTAAGTTGTAACTACTTGAACATTTTATAGACCAATACATTATAAAGCCTGAGTCACCATAAGTTAATTCAGTAAAATGAGTACTTCAATAGAATAAAACTTTTAATAAAAATAATAATTATTTATAAGTACATGATATTGAGGCCTAAGCTTAAGGACTACACATATTCTAAATACTATTTAGCACAGCCAAATTAAATGCTTCTGGCTTTCTCCTAATAGAAGAAAAAACTGGATGGAACTCCTGAAGAGTAATGGATCCATAACACAAGGGAACATAGAGAACGTGGTCTGCCCACTTTTGGGAAATGGGACTCCAGGATATCAATGATGCAGCACTAAGAACCACAGATTCCCTCTCACCCCACAATCATCTTCCCTCAGGGCTGCCTCGTTGCCCACATCCTGGAGAGCACCATTAATATTATACTCCATGTAAATGGTGGCCACTGGAACTGTGCTACACAACAGAGATGTTTCTTACCCAAAGAAAAATGTCAGGAGGGGTTGGCTACTGTATACTTCTATCTTTCTCTCAAGCATATACTTAACAACCATTTGTGGGGAATTATTATCAGTGGAGATTCTTTTAGTTAATATGTCAGAAAACCCAGTTAAACCTAGCTTAATAAAAAAAAGGGATTTATTGTTTCATGTAAATGAATAGTCCAGGGGTATACTGGCTTTAGGCAAATAGATGGTATCATCGTAATCCTATGTGTCTCTCTCCACTCCTTGGCTCCACTTCTTCTGTGTTGACTGTCCTTTGACAGTACTTTGTAAATTGTTTAGAGCTGTATAAGCTACTTAAAAATTTTTTTTCTGTTAATAATCATTTTCTCCTGCCTTTATTAATTCCAAAGGCAACAGAATTATCTTCTGAGAAAAATTAGCCTATTAGTCAATAAATGAATACATAACTTGAAGAATAAAAGTGACCACACCCTTAAATAAAATACACAATTTGATCTGAATAAGAAGTGCTGGTGCAGAGCTTGAGCGCCTGCATTTTTAACAGCTCTCTATGTAATATGTTGCATAAGACCACTGGTCTGCCCATTCAACAGATAACACCAAGAACTAGTTTGCCTACATTTGTAAAATGTCTAAAGGAATTCAATAGTTATTGTAATATTAAAATGTATCTAAATTATACTAATACTTTTTATTTGTGGCAGTCTTAAGAATGAATGTTTCAAGTTTTCCAAAACAGGCAGGACCCATAGAAGTATCTCAGCTTTTCTTAAACTTCATTCCCTCTGTTTACTCCCACCTTCAGATAACTTTTATTCACATATAATTTTAGGGCAAGATTCGGGTAAAACTTGAAACCCCAGTATGAATTGCTGTGTGTTAGCATTCGTTTTTTCAAGATTTATTTATTTATTTTAGAGAGAGAGAGAGAGTGTGTGCACATGCACGTGAGGGTGCACAAGCGGGGGGAGGGGCAGAGAGAGAGGGAGAGAAGCAGACTCCCCTCTGAGCATGGAGCGCCCCTCGGGACACGATCTCAAGACCCAAAGATCACGACCTGAGCTGAAACCAAGACTTGGACACTTAACCGACTGAGCCACCCAGGTGCCGCAATTGAAAGATAGTCCTGAAAAGTAACTGGATAGTACTCTTCAAGTGCCAGGGTCACGAAAGACAAAGGAAATTGAGGAAACACGGCAACTAAATGAAATGTGGGATCCTAGGTTGGAGCCTGGACCAGAAAAAGGACATCAGTGGGACAAGTGGAGAAATTACAGCAAAGTGTGTAGTGTGGTGAATAGTATTATATCAATATTCATTTCCTGGTTTAGACCATTGTATTGTGGCTATGGTTATGTAGGATGTTAATATTAGGGAAAGCTGGGTGAAGGGTATATGGGAATTCTCTGGACGAATTTTTTTTTTTTAAAGATTTTATTTATTTATTTGACAGAGAGAGACAGCGCGAGAGAGAACACAAGCAGGAGGAGTGGGAGAGGGAGAAGCAGGCTTCCCGCTGAGCAGGGAGCCCGATGCGGGGCTCGATCCCAGGACCCTGGGATCATGACCTGAGCCGAAGGCAGACGCTTAACGACTGAGCCACCCAGGCGCCCCTCTCTGGACGAATTTTTGAAACTAAAAGTCTAAAATTATTTCAGAATGGGCTTAGAAAAAGTAAAATAAAACAAGTTCTCTCCAATGACTGGTGTTGTTTTCTGTCTCCTGACTGGGCC